AAGATTTCTGTCTTCTGGGTTGTTGCGCTGTGTAGTCTGGTCGATGTTTACCAACGTTTCAGAGGTCATACTGCCTCAGTCATCAGGGCAGTATGACCTCTGAAACGTTGGTAAACATCGACCAGACTACACAGCGCAACAACCCAGAAGACAGAAATCTTCATTCTCACCGCTGTGAGAACCTCAAATCTTACATAATAATATTACAAAATTAACATAAAATAGAATATTTAACTCATTCAAAACAGTACAATTTCTACAGCTACTCAGTATCAGTTTATGTATTTATTCTTGGTTAATTTAATAATACTGTCAATATCTCAGTAGAAGTTAATTTTGCATAAACTAGCTGAAGTGAGTTTGATAAATTTCAACAAGGACTCAAAACAGAGAATTTTATCAACGTACACTGAACCTGAGCAATCTTGCATTATGACTAATATTCTGCTCTGGACCCACACAAAGGACATTTTAATCATACCAACAGCATATTCAGCGCAAAACAGAATAATCTTGTGTAAGTCAAAGCAGAAAAGAATGAAGAGTTATTGAGAATGATCAAATATAGTACGGTACTCACATTCTTGTGCTCTGCGTCAAGGGCGTCCCACATTGAGGCAACAATCTTTGACACCTCACCAAAACTGGCATTTGGGTTCTGTCCCTTTATGGCAGCCTGAGTGTCACGGAAGAAGAGGGCATATGCAGACACCGGTCTGGAGAACATAAAATACAATATACAGGTATCAATTTTCATTTTCAAAATCATTTTAAAATAATGTGATGTTGAACATCATACCTTCAACCTCTCAATGTCCACTACTGGACATAGAACTCCCATTTGGGGATTTTAGCCATATGCTACCACGCTGGCCAGTGCGGGTTGGTAGCGGACAAACATCCATGCCTTGATTGAGACTCGAATCCACGGTCGCAGCAGTCAGGCGCACGAGGACCATGCCTCAGACAGCATGGCTACTGCGGCCGGTGCATATGAGATACACAGTTTATATTCTTCTGAACCTAGATGGTCATATTAACTGGACCTACCCATTAGCTCAACAACCGCCTCTGCTATGGACTGGAAGAAATCTAATGTCTAATACAAGTGAAAACAACCATTTCTGAACTATCCAGTGGTCTAGTGGCTAGCACATACTTACAGGCCTAACATGAAAAAACGTTCCACATTCGTTACCATAAGCTGTCATTAACATCGAAATAAAAAAGTGGTAAAAGATGTGTCAGTGCAATCACAATGAATCACATGAAGACTGGCAGTAGAATCAACTCCCTAAACATCATTTCTCTATTTATTTGTAGTTTATTTATCAACGCTCTCAGTAATCCAGACTAACATCTAATGATAGGATGATTAATAAATAACAGATTGGAAACAATGCAGAAGGAAGTGGTCGTTGCCTTTAGGTACTATAGCAGCATAACAACGTCTATGGGCCAAGATTAGGAGTGATAACCACTTGACTTTGACATTCTATCATAAAAAAACAGGCTGTATTTGTTCTTACATGTGGATGAAAAACTTGACTTGCCTTTTTGAGATGGAAAAAGGGTGTCTGAGGGATCATGAGATCATAATGACAAGGAACACATCTGGATGTAGGAGATATCACGTGATCAAAATGAATGGATAAAATTATGTGATGAAGAGTTTCATAATTTCTACGCTTCAAGTCACATAGATACAGCTATTAAGGAAAAACTGCACGGAAGACTAACTGGGAAACCTAGATGCAGTTGAGGATAAAATTCAAACTGATTTAAAAGAAAATGGTTTCCATGTGCTCAGGAAAATATAAATACAGGATTTTGTAATAACAGTGCTGAACATCCAGGTTTATTAACAACATTAAATGTTGTGTTTTTGACAGCGTCCTTCATTAAACAAAACGTATGCACGCAGCAAGTTCGCTTTCCTAGCAACACCTTATTTTATTAGATAAGTAAGTATCAACTACTGAAGACGACTTTGTACCGTCAGGTTATTCAGCCTACTTTAATAAGAGACTTGCGGAGACCAACAGAAAGATAGGTCTGCAGGTCTAGTTTTACGTCCCAAAAACCTTAGAGCCGCATTATTTCCACTAAATTTTAGAAAACAAATCGACGCACTAAGTCAAACATTTCCCAACGAACAGCAAACAGTTACATTATGCCGCGATATTTTAAAAATATGTTTTAAAAACGATGAAAGTTAAATTCTCCTTGTGTAATGTGTATTCATGTATCACGAATCAAAAAACAAACTGCTTGGGAACCTCTACAGCACGTAACAAGTAGTTCGACACCCTGACTCAGCAAGAACTGCCTGCGGTCATCGGTCGGCCGGCGACGTTCTCTTTGCGGTCAGCCATTATCTCCGCCATAATTTTGTTATCAGGCCAGGAGCCTATATCATATGTTAAATTGTAACGTGTTCCATATAGGCTATATACCAGGGGTTCTCAACCTTTTTTCAATGCAGTACCACTAATTCTAATTTAACACATTAAATGTACCACTAACCAAATGCGTTCAGGGAAAACTTATTTATGTTAATATTATCTTTTGATTTTCTTACTTAGTTCGCGTACAACTCAATATTGGCTCGCGAACCACCAGTGGTACGCGTACCATAGCACTTCGGGGACGTAATATTCAGGTTCTCACAGCGGCGAGAATGAAGTTTACTGTCTTCTGGGATGTTGCGCCGTGTAGTCTGACTAGCGTTTCAGATGTGCTTACAGCGTCCACCATCAGGGCTGATCAATGCTCATCGCCCCGATGATGAGGGCAATAAGCACCTCTGAAAGGTCGGTCAACTTCTATGAGTCTACAAAGTACAACATCCCAGAAGGCAGTCGTCTTCTTTACCGGCGTGTTTGTGTGCTGTGATCTTACATAAAATCTTGTTAACAAAAATTTTCCAGAAACTCTCTTAGAGGTCATTACCGTATTCAGAATTCGTAACAAAAACCACGTGTTCTCTTCTAATCTGTGATAAATCACAATTGATTCTCACACCATCAATACCACAGGAAAAACACCGATATTTTCTCAGAGCTAATGTGTACCCTAAACTGAATAAAAATACATAAAACACCGTAAGTAGATAACAAAGAACTTTAAACGAAAAATGTAGTGTGATAAATTCACAACGGTCTCAAAATGCTGGGAGTCCTTTCTAGTTTATTGGCAATAAATGTAAAAAGTGGGTGTTGCAATATGAAGACATAATTTCAAGTGCGAAAACGTCCTACTTATTCCCAGTCCTAGACACGTTTTCCATTCACGGCTGTATTCAACCCTTGTTGTAATTCAGAATGATATATATAAAACAGTATATTTAAGATCTATGGCCCTGACTACTTTACTCAGCTGTGATGGATGTATCAAGCAATGGGGACAGACAGCCCCTAGAATCAAATTATCCATGTTTTCTCTCCACTGGCAGGATGGCGCAGTGATGCTGTGAGGGGAAGGTGATGTAGGGGGGAGCAGAGTAATGTTTTATGGAAAGAGAAGCTGTTACTGTTATCGAACGGAGACGAGAGTGAGCGAGAGCAACCGGGGGGAAAGGGGGTTTGCAGAATGGATCTTTCTGTACAATCAATAAAACATGGCCCATTTAAATTGCAGTATACGTCTGTCAAGCAGGCTACCTCATCTCTGATACCCCACCCGCCCTCTTCTCTGTCTATGCAAGCCGCCACTGCCCACTCTTGTATATATGCTATGACGAAAATTGGAAATTCATGTGTCTGACTACGCAGCAAGCAAAGAAGAAGAAAGGAGCAGTAATGTCCATGGATACTGAAGTGATTGGTAATGGCGATGATAAGTCCGTTAGGGGGATGGATAACTTTTACAAGGAACACGCCCGATGAAAGTAAATATGCAAACTTTTATACTTCACTGAGTCTGAAGATGACTGTCTTCTGGGTTGTTGCACCGTGTAGTATGGTAGAAGTTTACCAACGTTTGAGAGGTCCTTGCTGCCTCCATCATCAGGGCGATTAGTAAGCCGCGCCCGCGTCATGATAATGGAGGCAGCAAGGACCTCTCAAACGTTGGTAAACTTCTACCATACTACACGGTGCAACAACCCAGAAGACAGTCATCTTCAGACTCACCGCCGTGAAAACCTCAAATCCTACAAACATAAACTCTACTAGTTCGGTCTTTCTTCATATCTCTTGCTTCTGGACCACACACGCGACATCTGCGGCAACAAGCCGAAGAGGAGAATGTGAAGAAAAACGCTTTACGCCTGCCACACGACATCTGATCAGAAAACATAGGGCAGGACTGTCTTAAAATCAGTTAAACCGCAGGCTATGAGGTTCCCTCAATCAAACGGTTGTAAAGCTGATATGTGTGAAGATATGGCGGCCGTCAGAATGGAATTAAAGAAGCTTCGATGCTTCGCTAGAGAAAGAAACCCTAGCCAACTACAAAGCGAAGACGACTGTAATTAAACGAAATGAGTGGTAGTACGAGGCAATCGGTGGGAAGGGATATAATCCCACATCCCCCCAGCTACTTACCAGACGTTAATTGCGTAATAATAAATAATTTATTTTACGTTTTCAGTTAATTAAAACTTTTAAAGTAGTCATTAATCACTGACGTAATTTGTGTCTCGTTGAAATGTGGAAGAAATTTAGAAACTCGCATCCAAGCTGACTTGGTACTGTATTACGTAAAAGAGATTAGACTCCAGCAAAAGTCTTTGATAATCTTCCAAAGTAGGCAGAAGATTCAGACCGGAAAGAGATCTTGATTTATCTTCATTACGAATACAACGATTGCACTTCTTACGGTTTAGTAAAATTAATACTAGTCTTCACTCTACGTTTTGAAAGAACAAATTCTGTTTTCATATTTGTTTTGACAACTGATATTACCTGTTGTTTGGACACCATTTAAGCCAATGTAGTTTCTACACGGTGAGGCTGGTAGTCTAACTTCGGACGTACTCAAAATGTCTCACTAAACGACAATCAGCAATACGGACAGTAAAAGGACAGAACTTTTATCACACACATGCACACATTTCTTGTATTCTCGCTGTTAAAACCAACTTACGGAATCCACGTTGTTCTGAAAACGAAAACCCCTTATCCACGAACCCATTTCGATTTTCTTTAGACACATTAACAGTAAATAAATTAAACCATTAGGCCAATGTTGCTTTTTTTTTTAAATCTTTATCCTCTTTTAGCTGCAGGTGTTGAGGTACTCATTCATTCATTTAATCCTATTAGACATTCGGTAGGACTCCTTGGACGAGTGATCAGCCCGTCGCAAGGCCTCTACCTGTACACAGGACAGCACAACACAGAAAGACGCGAACAAACATCCATGCCTTGAGTGGGATTCGAACCCACGGTCCCATTGCTCAAGCGCACGAGGTGTATGCCTCAGACCGCGTGGCCATTGCGACCGGCTTGTTTTAATAATGCAGTCCGAAATTCGTTTGGGTACTATCACGTGTATAGCACCACACAGAATTAGTAGGCCTATGTTATAAGAATTCTGAGTCGAGTGCCAAACACTCATGATCTTAGTTCAGTATTCCCACAAACAGGCCCTGCAAGAATTTCTCAGTGGTTTCGAAGTTCTTTAAGGTAATCATCAATTTGAAGTAAAATGATATTATTAAAACGTTATTTTAATTTATTAATAAATTAGTTTACTATAGTACATTATTAGAAATGGCAGTAAGCTGCTTACAAATACGGACGAAGAAGAGGATATACGGTAAACTGAAAGTCTACTTCACAATGAGCCGACGTCCGCGATACGAATGATACCAGTTTTAATCACCAAAAATAAACACAACAAACAAAAGACTGCTGCAATAAAGATACTAATTTAGGTATGGAACTGCCTGCATTTATATTTCGATATTTTATACATTAGTAACAAAAAGGTTTGACAATTTTTCTTGGATCAGCCAAACCATTCACAGCAGGAAGCCACGGCGTGGCTTAAAATTCTTCCTACATTTCTTACTAGAAACAGAAACTACCTTTACTCTGCGACCAGCTAAGCGAGTGGGCCTAAGAGAGGACGTGAGAATGTGCTGCTTGGTCAGGGCTAACACCCAACTCACACCTCGGTGAAAGAAGAGTATGTGGAATGATTGTTGGCAGGTAAAAAGTAATTAATTCTGAGAGAAATCTGCCACTGTGCAGTTTCTTCCAGCACGAATATTTCTTTAGGACACCCTGAACTGTACCTCATGCTCCGCGGTAGGATGCCACCGTCTAGCCACCTAAATCAATACTTGCAAAACAAATGAACTCATATGGAGAATGTTTCTTCACGAAGTACGTTCTGGAACACCTGGAATGAGGATCTTTATCCACGTTGCAGCAGGCAAGCCACTTTTGACAACAAACCACCAGTCACTAGGCCGATTCTAATGGATTAATTCAAACACTCTTCCAGTCCACATACACTGCAATACGTTTGGTTTCGAGACACGCCTATATTTCTGCAACCCTCCCTCGTTAGAAGGCCGGTATTTTATCGGAGCTCAGTTATGTCTAGGCTTCAGTTATTCTGAACAGAGAATATCATCATTGTTGTAACTTTTATTTTGTAACCCAACAGCTAACACAACCAATTATTGACACAATTTTGGAACAGCATAGCAACAACTTACAAGAGAATATTGAAGAAAGTTGTCGCATTTCACTGGGGAGGACGTAAAACACGTGGAGGCCGGTAGATCAGTGTTAAATACAAAATTGTACGAGGGTCGCTCATTAAGTAATGCCCCACATTTTTTTTTCTCAGCCAATAATGAAGATAGAAAAGTGTACTTTTACATGCTTGAGATTTGATGTTTCCCGCGTTCGTGTACGGAGTTTCAAATGATTCCAACCGATAGCGGAGCTGTAGTGAACTGTTAAAATGGCGTCTGTGAACGACTCTCGTTACAAGCAACGAGCTGTAATTGAATTCCTTGTTGCTGAAAAAGAAACGGTGGTGAACATTCATAAACGTTGGTGTGCTGTGTATGGAAGCTGTGCAGTCGATAGGAGCCCCGTTGGTCGCTGGGCTAAGAGAGTTAAAGCTTCAGGAAGTGAAGAAACCGAGCTCCGTGATCTGCCGCGCTCTGGGCGTCCTGCCGTTGAACCGCGCGGATGCCATTATTCGTGAGGATCGGCGCATCACAACTCGACAATTGGCCCAACAGCTTTCAGTCAGCAATGGAAGTGTGATTGCAATTATCCGGGCTCTTGCATATTCGAAGGTGTGCGCAAGATGGGTTCCACGAAGTCTCACAGCAGACCACAGGATTCAAAGGAAAACGATTTCTTCTGAATTGTTGGAGCGTTTTGATGCTGAGGGAGAGGTCTTTCTGTCCCGGATCATTACAGGTGACGAAACCTGGATACACCACTTTGAGCCAGAGACAAAAAGGCAGTCAATGGAGTGGCATCATCCTCAATCACCGAGAAAGAAGAAATTCAAGACAACTCCCTCCGCCGGAAAAGTCATGATGACTGTCTTTTGGGACAGTGATGGGGTCATTCTTGTGGATGTGATGCCAAGAGGTGCGACCATCAATTCAGACGCGTACATCAGGACCCTGAAAACCCTCAAGAAGCGTTTTCGACGAGTTCGGCCTCACAAGCATCCAGCAGAAATTTTGCTCCTGCACGACAATGCACGCCCTCACACAAGTCTGAGAACCCGGGAAGAAATCACCAAATTGGGTTGGACGGTGCTACCCCATCCACCCTACAGTCCAGATCTGGCACCCTCCGACTTCCATCTCTTTGGGCCCCTTAAAGATGCTATCCGCGGAACAAGATTTGAAGATGACGAGAGCGTGATTCAAGCAGTGAGGACATGGCTACGGGGACAGGACAAGAGCTGGTACCGGCAAGGCATGCATGCCCTTGTTCCACGCTGGCGTAAAACCGTACAAGTTGATGGGGACTATGTGGAAAAATAGTATGTGTAAAGGAAACATTGATTTATATTGTCACTAAATTTGAGCCATCTTGAATAAATATGTTCTGAGGAAAAAAATGTGGGGCATTACTTAATGAGCGACCCTCGTACATCACTTACTTTTGCGGTTCGTTAGGATCTCTCTTCTTCTTTTTCTTCTGAACCTTCGGCTTCTTTTGAATTTTTGCCAGTCCGTTATCTGCCGGCTCTGGAGACGGCCGCTTCATGCCAGCCATCTGTAAAGCAAATTATTTATAAAATAGGTTATTGGGAGTATCTGCATTCATTTTTAAAACGCATTTTACCAGACTCTACAGAATACTGAAGCAATTTTAGTGTCACATATTCTTCCCTTAACAAAATATACACACAAAAGGTGACAAATAATTTCTACAGTTTATAGCAAAAACAGTTCTGAATCCTGTATTTTAAGAAGTTCACAAGCAGCACCATCTAATCCTTACAGAAGTTAAAGGGGATGAAAGTTAGAGCAACGTGCGCAGAAGAAAGAGACCAAGAGCGTGATGGATGTATTGCCCAACACAACCAATCTCAGAGTGACTGCTTAGCGATGGCTAAACTACAGCAACGTCACTTGTGTGACAATATTACTACTCCTGTAACATGGCGCCAAGCCGCGGAGAGGCAAATGTTTAATACTCCGTGTTTAGCCTATGAATAGAACGCAGCCAGAAATAATGTTATGGTTACATTGAAGGGAAGAACCATAATACTGCAAATAGAACTGTCAGACGGCGATTTTAAATCTGAAACAACCACAAAAGGCTACACCTCTAGAAAGACTGCTCTAGAGAAATAACTGTATCACGTCGCGTCTACTTTAAAAAGCAGAATACAGTGGATTCCGGTTAATTTAAACACATCGGGACTAAAACACTTTGGCCCAATTAAGCGGCTACCCCAATTAAGAGAAGTTCCACGTAAAGAGTTAAAAAGGTTTGTTCTTTAAAATTTGTCCCAAATAAACGGCTGCCCCGATTAACTGATGGCCCAATTAACCGGAATCTAATGTACAAAGAAACTCACATGAGAGAAAATATAATAAAAGATTGTTAACTGCATTATTTAATTTTTGATTCAAGTTAAATAACTTAAAAAATAACCTTGTTGAGCAATGACTGTAGAAATAAACAAGATTATCTAATTTAGCATTTCAGTAGCATTTAGCATAAAAAGTCTTCCATGTAATGAAAATGGTTAAATTCGAAATATGGCAGTTAGGGGATGGGAGGTGGCAGCCAGTTTGTCCACCACAGCTAGAACTGTACACCGGGGCACAATTGCGCGGTTAGTACACGATGCAACAAAGGGGATCTGCCACTGTGAGCGGCTGTAAACAGCTCCATGGTATCACTATATACTGGCAAGACACAGATATTTACGATCTATCCACCAGAAATAGCGTATATGAAAGGATACTATTTCAATAGTCTTCTAGGAAAACGATTAGGTTGTGGAATGGATTGATCTGACCCAGGATAAGGGCCAATAGAGCGCTGTTGTAAGTACGGTAATGAACCTTTGGGTCCTATAAAAGGCCAGGAATTCCCTGATCATTTGAGTGACTAACATCTTCTCAAGAATAACTCTAATACCTGCATAGAGCTGGTTTAGTTAGCATCGGAAATTAAATTCTATAATCAATCGTGTAGCCCGTTCGTCCGCTTCACAAATCAGCAGCATCAGATCGAAATCGCCACCAACTGCCTGCACTCTGTGGGCTTTCAAAATTCCCCCAACCATTATACATTCACCTGAAGATGGTAACTGCGAAAGCCTAGTGACAAGAATAATTCCGTGGAGCAGAGTTCTGTTTGTGATGTTTACTACCAGCTAGTCAAGAAATTCCTCGCCTTTCATGGAATCAGATGGTTAATTACCATGGCCACAAAATCCCGCAAGCAGTCCCTCTCCTAAGTCGCACAGTCCACAGTCTCCCACCCTATTTCCTTAAGATCAAGTTTAATATTTACATCCCATCGATGCTTACAAATACGAGGGTCATTCCAAAAGTAATGAACCATATTTTTTTTAAATCCAATTTTCAATTTACAATTTTGTTATTCACACAGTGGATAGGTAAAGCCTTCAGGAACAAAATGCTACTTTTCAATGTAGTCTCAGTCCCTCTCAACTGTCTTAAGCCACCTCGGCGCTACGGCATGTATGCCCTCACGGTAAAACTCGGGATCAGCGCTTTTGAGTCACTTATTCACAGATGCCACAAGGGAGTCATAGCCCTCAAACTTTGTCCCACGAATGCTGCCTTTCAGTTTACCGAACAGGTGATAATCTGGCGGTGCCAGATCGGGACTCTGTGGTTGGTGTGGCAACACTGTTCACCACAATTTTGTGATCGCAGCGGACCACCTCGCACAGTCCTTCGAAAGTCCCATATTCTCCAACATTCTGCACACACTGGCTTCGGCAATGTCCAGTCGGAGCAACAGTTGTTTCACAGTCATGTTGTTCACCCTCTCAACATTAGCGTCCGTCAGCGCTGATTGTGGCCTTCCGACGCGCGGCAAATGGCAAATATTTGCATGTCCATCTTTGCCTGATGTTCTTTGTGCCCAGCGGCTACCTGTGCTGCGATCGACAGTATCCACCCCGTACACCTTCTGCAATCGCTTGTGGATGTTTCCCACGGTCTCGTTCTCACACACCAAGAACTCGATAACAGCACGTTGTGTCTGACGAACGTCAAGGACGGCAGCCATGTTTAACGAATTATACACATGTGCCACTTTCGGGAGAAGGATGAACTAAGTTATAGTACAACCGGGACTAGTGTATATGTGTTCTGTGTGAATAGCAACACGTAAGAAAAAAGGCGGATTTTTTAAAATATGGTGCATTATTTTGGAGTGACCTTCGTACAACTTGCCATCTCCTCATGCGTGCTACGTGCCCTACTCATCTCATCCTCCATAATTTCATAATTAATATTATTTGCTTACGGGTATAAGTACGATTATCTTAATTATGTAATTTTCTCCAGTTTCCTGTCACTTAAAAGTCTTTTTTTAAAAATATTTTTCTATAAAATCATAAACAACATTCGTTTCTTACGGTTCAGTGGCTTACAGAATTCGTTATGACGTTCGTGTTTCCATTCTTATCCTACAATCGAAATATGGTGTCAGTGTCTATTACATTATCCATCCTTTTCAACCCTCCATAAAAGCTTGGTATAAATACGATCATCTATATGAGGTGCCAATTTTCTTTCTTTTTTAAGCTATTCTAACAAAAGTTGAAGTCGTCAGAACTTCCTCTCTTTTTATAAAGAAAAAAATCACTTAAAACTTTATACATTTATAACTATGCTTTTATAGTCGGACTTTAGAGAACATCCGTCCGCAGAAGCAATTCCGCGAGAGAAAAAATCTCTTTACACACACACACACACACAAAGGAAACATGGATTCTAAAATTAATGTGGGAAGGAATAGATTGTGTAGCTTTCCATAACTGCAACTTTCTTATACAAAAAGTGCGAAACATTATAGCACCGAGGTATACTTCACTGTCAGCAATTGACGTTTAGGTAGACACGTCAGTGACCTATATTAAATTTGATATAACGTACAACAACATCGATTTGGGAATTACTGAAGTACGAGATCGAAATAGCACGTATTGTGTATCTCCAATACACAACGTGTGAACCCGTCAACAGATTGCAACTAGAACAGTTCTTTCACCACTCTCTTCATTATAAATAAACACAGGTCACCAGTAGATAGTGAATAGTTTAATAAAATTCATCAATTCAAATGTACATAAACAAATATCATTTCTGAACAAACCCGTACTTCAGTAAACCCAGATACGTAGCTATATATGAATGAATTATATAAATCACGTAATTTAAAATACAGAAATTAAAGATGAATATGAATGAATTCTGGAGGTAGCGCCGGGTTGTGTATTAGGCGGTTGCCAACATTTCAGAGGTTCTCGATGACTCTATCACCAGGGCGCAACATCCCAGAAAAAGTAATCTTAATACTAACGCAATAACAAGCTGAAATCTCATCACAGACTGACGATGTTTGAGAACAGGGTGCCGAGGTGAACAATTGGACCTAAAAGTGAGGACGTAACAGGACGGTGGCAAAAACTGCATAATGAGGATTTTCATAATTTTCTCTCCTCACCAAATACGATTAAGGTAATCAAATCAAGAAGGATCATATGGAAAATGACTACAGAGAGAACGGAAGAGATAAGAAATGCATACAGAATCTTAGTTGGGAAACTTGCAGGGAATGTAGCACTTGGGAGACCTAAACAAAAAAATGGGAAAATAATGTCAAGATGGGTTTTGAATAAATGTGGTGTGATGTGAATTAGATTCATGTGGCACTATATGGGATCCAAAGGCGAGCTCTCGTGATTACAATACCGAACCTTTGGATTCCATAAAAGTAGAACATTTCTTGAATAAATGACCGAATGCTGGTTTATCTCAAAGGACTCTGTTTCGCGGAGTTTTTTTTATTTTTTGAGATTACGTACTTGTTTTAGAGGGGGGTTTACTAGAAATCAAAATATGATAAATAAATATTTCTTAACAGCCACATTAACAAGAGGATAATGTGTGAACACCGTCGACGGCCACAGTGAAATTTTTGCCGCCCTGAGTTGTCCACCCCTGGCTTCTAAATTGAGATAAGCAAATAATTAGTTGAAATTACCTATTCAGTATGTGACTGGCTGTAAAGTTGGGTACAGGCTTCGATTTCCGGAAGGCAGAGTTTTTTTAACCAGCATTTTGACACGGGCTCTAGGCTCAATCAGCCTCCTATCCATTTCGTTCCACTGACACTTGTCTCTACGCAAACCGGCCGGAGTGATCATTCACCTACATCCAGTGCCGAGATAGCAAAGTGTGCCTTACCTCTCTGTTTTCTCTACACACGTTCATGGCGCGATTCTTAAACACAGAATAACTTTACTTTTCCATACAAGTGGATGTTACTAGTAGGCCTACTTTGAAATTCAGTTTCGTGAACATAATAATTTTCTGCATTCCCGGCGATCCAGTGCCGAACCATCATTGAACACGTGTTTTTTTGTGTATTCGTTTATAGCTTGATAACGGCTATACCAAATTGCACAAAACTTGGCAAGCTTATTTATCGAGACCAGAAGATAACACACGAATATCGAAGCTCAGGAAAAGTGTCCTGAGTTCGAGTCCCAGTGACGGCGGTTCCTGTAGCTCGGAAATTAAGCATGACAGAAGAACAACGCCTAGAGCAAAGTTCTTTGTTTCAAAGAGGAGAATAGGAAAACAAAGGCCACAATGCTGAGAAAGTGTCCTGGGTTCGAATCCAGATGAAAATTGTTTCTGTACCTCGGAAGCAGAGCACGATAAAATAACAGCGCCAAGACCAAAAATGTTTGTTTTGGCGAGGAGATTTTACACGAACAGAGTCCACAATCACGGAAACGTCTGGGTTCGAATCCTGATGATGATACTGGTTTTAGGGACGATAATCGGCGTAGCTCAGTCAGTACAATGACGCTACGGACTGGAAGACCAGGGTTCGATCCCCGACGGGGGTAGAGGATTTTTCCTCTAAGCTTCTGCGGCCAAACCGGTTCTGGGGCCCACCCAACCTCCTATCCAACATGTACCGGGGTCCTTTCCCGGGAGTAAAGCACCGCCGGGGCGTGATGCTGACCACTCATCCCCTTCTAGTGCCGAGGTCAAGAAAGAGTGGAAGCTATATCTCCCCCCCCCCC